AATACTAATTTTAAAAATCCCAGTCGATGGTTTCTAAAGCTTTTAAAAAGTTTACAGCTCGGGCGATATCGCTTTTAAAAGCAAGTCTGCCATTTAAAAAAATAATTTTGTAATCGCAATATTATGCTCATTGAACGTATGTTTTGGAAACCTTTCGTGCAAAAATGTGGTCGCTATATAAATTAATTTTTTGCCTCTAAAAAGTGTCATTGGCGAGCTGTGACGTAAGCGTATGCAAAATGTGAGCGAGAAGCGGAAAGTGCAGTGAACAATCATATTTTTCACGTGAATGAGATTTATGATATTATATATATATATATATTTATGAAGAGCAGTTTTTTAATCGAGCCTCAAATGTTTTTGGGAAAATGTGATTAAGTTAAGACAAATTGGTGCCAACTGATGCGCAAAGTATGGGCGACATCGATTTACCCGTTAACGAGATATTTGAGGATAAGTTTCGCCACGAATTTGTGACAGCACTATAGTTTTTGTTGTGTTGTTCCTGTCAGAAATCATGAAAAGCAAGAAAAGTGTAAGCCTTGACTATAGTATCAAACTGCACTTTGGTGATGTTGGAAATTGCATCTTTGATAGAGCTTTTGGGACCGTTTAAAAATTGAACATTCTCAAAATTTGGACTTGAGTGGATTGCTTGCAACGCCGACAGTTTCCTTTTAACATGCTGGCTCATAACGAAATAGTGAGCTTCTATTTTGAGGAAAACCGTGGTCAGATTTAAGTTTGACTCCAGACTCACTCATAGGAAGTACTTTTGATTTTCCAGAGAAAAAGAAGGAAGGTGGTTTTGTGGGTTGAAAGAGTTAGATGTGCGACTTGGGGTGAGCCGTTCCAGGAAAACAAACACTGTAGACCTACAATTTAAAATACTCTCCTTGAATAGAAGCGTCCCATCCCTAAACAAAAATCTACCACGAAAATGGGCTCAGAGAAGATAGCCACCAGTTTAGTAACAACATTTAGTTGGTCCCTGGCGACTTGAATAGTCATGACAACCTTGAACGTCGAAAGTCTGCGTATATTTTGGTTGTGTGATCTCTGATGTTGACTTATTCCAGTCTCCCGCCCGTGTCAGTGAAGTGACAAGTGGTGGAGCGATATCCCCTCACCTTTCTGGTCACCAATGCAACAGCTTGGTTCAGTAACTGATCAAATAAAAAGCACTATGAATAGAGTGTGTTTACTTTCGTGGGAGGGAGAGGGGAAGCAGGGGGGGGTTGAGTGATTTATATGTTTAGATTCCTGTTTATTTTGTTTGTTTGTTTGTTTGTTTACTTGAGATAGAAAAGCGCTTTGGTATAAATACTATTTTAGGCCTGGTCTCTGAACAGAGCAGTGTCCATAACATAATTTTGTTGGTTTTCCAGCTTAAATTTCATCCGATTTCTCTTTTGCATAATTTTTTTTTTGTATTATTATTTTTATTATTTTTATATTTATTTATTTATTATTATTATTACTTATTAGTATTATTATTATTATCACCATCATCATTATTATCATTATTATTATTATCATTATTATTATCGTCCTTATTGTTATTGTTATTATTATTATTATTATTATTATTATTATTATTATTATTATTATTATCAAAATGTGTGTTTGTTTAAACAGCAAGTCTCAAATCATTTAACAACAATGTTAATGCAATTTTCGGGATTGCAGCAAGACATATCAATTTGGATAAAACTGTAAGAAACGATGAAGGAAAATGGAGGGGGGGGGGGAAGATAAGTCGGAGTGAAGTTACACCATTAGGGCAACCCATATACTTGCCATTGTTGCATAATCAGTTTGGTAAACTACTATAATAGTGAATTGATTTTCTTCCCGCCAGGTGAATAAAGATTGTCATACTAAGGCGAAATGCAATATCCACCCAGCTGCATTCAACATAATTCAGTGAGTCAGAGTTCGTAAACACGATAATTTCATTTCAAATGTACTGTCGTATCCAAACCTTGCAACAGTGAGACGAGTCATAAACACTTCGACCCAGTTATTAAAAAAAAATAATGTGGGTGGTTGGCGGTTGCTCTGGTGTGGTTTGCTTCTTCTTTCCTATAAAAAAATCTATCGTCCTTATCTCCACTCCTTTTTTTTATGCTTGTTACTCTCTTGTAACACCTCTAATCTTCTGGCGCTCATTTGACCTTATGCAGTTGCGAGCGCCATAAAACCTTATTAAAAAGTAAAGAATTCCACTTTTTCAGTCCTCTCGGGGAGTTGTTTTACAACAGCATACATAAATATACTAATACATATAATATACATAAATATACTAATACATACATACATAAATGTATGAATAATACACAAAATCACTAACATAGATAATCCACACACTATTGCTGGTCGCCAGGTCCAGCGCCTTGTAATTGTGTAGTGTAAAGATGAAAACATCCAGGCAAATATTACAATTTTTTGTTTTTTGCATTTAACTTAAAACGGGGTATTTCTAGGCTCTGGTAAAAGTATAGATAGTATGAGGAATCGAAAAGGGAATATTTAAATACATCTTCATTCATCGAGTATGGCTTGGGCTGAGGAAGTACTGGAAAATTTCATCGAGATGAACTACGGATAAAGTGTGCGTCTCACTTTTCAACTCATGTTCTCTTTATACCGATGTTGTGATGTGTTGGTTTTTTAAAACAAACAAGAGACACGCCTGGTTCAAACAGTTGAAGTCGATATATTATGATTAGTATTCGCCTTCTTTTTTAAAAGCCTAGGCTTTTAACCCCCCCCCCCTCCCAAATACGACAAAATTTAGACAATTTAAGAGGCGGGCTTCCGACCCTGCCCGTCATTGGTCAACCCGGGCTGAGAGGGATACAACATCCCTAAAGAAAGACCGGGATACTTAATAGAGATTTCCTCTCCACTCGGGAACCGAACTCGTGTCGCCTTCGTGCGACAGCAAATGGCATAACTGCAGCTACACCACAGACACCGGCAATCTGTAGTTCAATTATTCTGTATACATTATTATTTAAGAGTCAGAATCTCTGTCTCGCGTGGAACAAGGCCAAGTGAGCACGTTGTCATGAAACAATGCAGCACTTAACCTGACCCGTACTGAATGTGATCGATGGGCATCGACACTGTACTCGTCTTGTTTTACATCAGCTGTCTCAAAACGAGCCTTTGCTCTTTACGGGGACGCACTGTTAGCTCAGTTAGTATAAAGCTGGACTGAGTACAGCATGACCATGATTCGAACTCCCAATTTTAATTTGAGTTATTTCTGGGAGTTTTTGAATAACATATCAATTATAAAAAAATGTAACCTTTCAGAGACACCCTAACCAGCGGAGTGAAGGAAAAAAAAACATTGATGAAAGGACATGAGAGATGAAAGACCAGCTGTCTTGTCACTAAAATTCAAATAAGGCCGAGTTCAAGAATATTTGAGAAACTGTCAGACGTGGTTATTTTAAAGCTAAAAATAAACCCCCCAAAAAACCAACAAAAACAACAACCAAAGTCAAATTTAAGCAGCACACTCAGTTTATGCTAAATTGTATCAGAAAGTGTGCTGCAATGTGGCGACGGTGGCCTAGTGGTTAGGCTACCGGACTCGTAATCGTGTGGTTGCGGGTTCGGGGTTTCGAGCCGGGGGCCGACGTTGTGTCCTTAGGAAAGGCACTTTGCACAAATTTTCCTAACTTCACCCGGATGGGAATGGGTACCCGGCCATAGCCAGCGAACGATCTTGTCAGTATGTTAGTGTTTAAGCGCCTGTAACTGGCAGCTTGAACTGTATGCTTCTCGGGAAGTTGAGGTTGTTTCAAAATGCTCCCAAGTCTGGTGAGGTAGTAGTATAGATTGTGAAGCGCATAGAGCTTGCTGTTGAGGAGGATTTGCGCTATGTTATATAAATGCTATCTATTATTATTATTACTGGAAAAGTGAAGAGGAATGAATAACGCGTTGAGACCATGATTATCCAAGAAAGGCTTTATGTAATAATAATAATATGTTTTCGATTTATACCGCCGCACCAGTGCTGGGACAATGCTTATAATACAAACATGCCTCTTTCTGCATCTACGAAAAACAATAATATCTTGGCTGGCAATTTCATCATAATAGCAGATAAAGGTGTTTTTTTAAAATAAATCATTTACTAACGTGTGAATAATTATTGTATTATTTTACCTATTTACTTTTGATAACGTATTTGCTTACTCATTTCTTAATCTATATTTTTTGACGATTAGTGCAGGTGAAAAATCTCTAAACTAGTAGGCCTATGTAGTGTGAACTGACAGAAGAAGCAAAAAAGACTTTTTCAGAAATCATGAATAGGAAATTAAAAAAATAACCATTACCTCGCTGATCAGTGCCTGAGTCTTAGAACGATTCTTACCTGAAACCTACAAGCTAACCTGGTTAAATTGATAAGAAGATAGTATTTTTGGCATGTTTCTGTTTAATATTTTTCCTGTCGCCCACACCGTTACTTCCAGACTATGGAATGATGCAGTGCGGCAAAAGATCGGTCACAGAGTCTAATGTTTATAAGCATTTTAACACTCAAATCAACATAAATAGACTTATCCAGGACGTCCGCTGCTTTGGCCAGGTGGAATACAGTATCCGAACATAAAACTGAATAATTCGATCAAACAATGCCAACCAACCTTGGAAAAAAAATGTTGAACACGCAAGAAAAAGGACAGAATCTACCCTATAAATTATGCGATAGCAACGTTTGAACCCGAAAATCGCTGTATTGTCCTTCTTTTGTCCGCCATGACCTTCTGTACGCCTATTGCCAAAACGATCTTCAGGAATATTCAATATTTTGAGATCCTGTATGGTTGATTTGACCTCAAAACTAGAAGACTGTACATCCCTTTTGAAACTGAAGCGGACAAACATCCAATCATTTAAAGATTTTGCTCTCCAAAACAATACATTTCTCAAGATAATCCTCACAACTTTCATCAAAAATGCAAAATCCTTACCTTTTGTCAAAACTTGGTCCCAGAACAGAAAGTTGATTTATATCAGACGAATCTGAAATAACACTGAAACGGCGATTTCCACTGATTAACCTTTCTATTTGAAGCAACCTTGAGATAAGACGTTTTCCAAACTTTTAAAGTCTCCAGCAAGTATTTTACAGTCCGTTAAGTGTACCGTCACGAGAAAGATTAAATCATCCCACAATTCGCATGTCCAAGTTGCTTGAAACCACTCCACTCCGAGACTTGTATTTGAGCGTTTTCATGTAAAGAAAACAATGCAAACTAGCTTATTATGAATCAAATAAACGTGACTGATCAACTTAAACTAAATTCAATGCGTTACCAATTCATAAACTTTAAATTTTACTCATATAAAACCTGATGTACCGAACAAACACTCGACGAAATATTCGTCCAACCCACGTGACCAACAACGAGTTGAGTACCGGCACAACAACTACTCCCCGCACACGCTTCTCTAGTACTCCGCCGTTCGTCCGACAGCAACACGGAGCGCAGAGATCGCGCTATATAAATCACTTAATGTTGTGTGTGTGTGCGCGCGCGTGTACGTGTGTGTGGGTGTGGGTGTGTATGTGTGGTGTGGGTGTATGTCCCGTCGCGCACGCGTTCGCACGTAATCTGCCGCTTCTCGTGACGTCGCTTGTCAATCACAAGTCTAGTGCCAGGACGGGTATAGTTCATGACAAGAGGGGGTAGCAGCGCCGGTGACAGACGGACGACCACCCCTTCCCCCCCCCCCTCCCCCCACGGGCGTTTCGTGCCATTCCTCGTCGGGCCGCGGGAACAAACCTGGGATCAAGGATGGTGCCGGCTGCCGCGCGGGACCGCGCCATGTCCCAGAAGCCAGCAGAAATTTGTGTACCTTCCAGTTTTAACAAAATTAATAGATATTTTAAATCGACTTATGAGCATGAAGAATTTAACATACCTTCCAGTTGTAACAAAATTAATAAATATTTTAAATCCACTTATGAACATGTAGAATTTAACTTACCTTCCAGTTATAACAAAATTAATAAATATTTTTAATCAACTTATGAACATGTAGATTTTAACGTACCTTCCAGTTATAACACAATTAATACATGGAGGCCAACGTAACCAAGTCGATTGAAGATCGAATCCAAGCAGGATTTGAATTGGTCTGTTTTCTGAATGTTCCAAGAAGAATTGATAAATTTCCGTTCTTGGTAAGATCCTTTATAGTGAAGAGTCACCTTCGAAACTAAAATTTATCATTTTTTAAATTGTTATATTGTCCGCATTCAGTGCCATTGAGGGTTATATTTGTAGCATATCGTTGAAGCGAAGCGAAGATTACATTGTTGAGAAAGTGCTCTTTTCAGTTCTACTCTAATTTGTTACTCTTAAAAAGGAATGATGTTTTGTTCAAAAAAATAATGTGGCCAAAATGCGATTGTTCAAAAAGCAAGTCTTAGTAATAGATTCACCCAATTATGAATTATCAGAATTTTGGAAGAATACAGTCTTATACTTCATCTACACTTCGATGTTTGCTTTTGAGAACTAAAGAAAAATTAACAAACGTATTTCAATCTTTTAGTTCTTAAACGCACTGTCTTTTATCGTGTGATTATTGGACATGGTGCTCCAAAGTACGATAAAAGTTTATGGAGCAAATTCAGTTTGCAGTATAAAGACAATACTATAATTTCATATTTTAGGCACTCTTATCGGTCACTGAATTTTTCTTCCACAGTTAAGATGTCACACTACCAGGACCGCAGAGCAGAAGATGTTTAATTATCTATATCATCCTCAGCATGCCATTATAATAATAATTCAATTATGTTTTTATAATGACGCGTTACAGATAAACTGAAAAAAAAGCTTATAAGAAAGTTGCGGTCCTTATAATTTTACGTTTAGATGAATACTTTACACAAGGTATTGTACATGTACACGTAGGTCGTACTATTTCTAAGAGGGCCATCCATTGACGAAAAGACAGTGGTCGTCATAGACAGATGGACGTCTTACACAATGTCATTTTAATTTTATTTTTTAAATACCGAACAGAGCAAATGTGAAGTGACCGTTTGTACTAGTGGTCGTCTGACACAGGTGGTCGTTATAGCAAGTTTGACTCTACTTATTTCCTTATAATCAAAGGCATTGTCTCAAAGCTCGCAAGTGCCGTAAAACTCGTACTAAAACTAAGACGAGCGTGATGAGGGGAATACAATGAAGGGGACACTGGGAGGAAGATGCCAGGGACGCTGATAAAGGTTTACCTTTGCCTGCCTGTTTCGTCGCGTTCACGACGAAAAGTGGGAGGAGCTGAGGGTATATCAAGGACCGCCCAAGTAATTTGTCAGCTGTCGAGGATAACATGATATAGACATGAGACAGGGTGAAAAGGGATCTTGTTGATCGACATATCACATCAGTCTGGTGGTGGAGTAGTGGTGGTGGAGTTGGTCATATTATGTTTACGATAGACTGCTGTGTGAAAAAATAAGTGATGACACCTATATACTGGATCTTTGATAGAGACCCCCAAAAATCCAAAATATTGTATGAGCCAGATTATGAGAGGCATGCTTTTGTGTGTGTGTGTGTGTGTGTGTGTGTGTGTGTGTGTGTGTGTGTGTGTGTCCGTGCGTGTGTGTGGGGGGGGTGTAAGTGTGTATGTAAGCATGTGTGTGCGTGTGTGTATGCGTGTGTGCGCGTGTGTTGGGGGGGGGGGGGAGGAGAAGGGAGGTTGCACTGTGTCAGTATGAGCATGTATGTTTTTCTGTGCGTGTCGGTATATGTGTGAACATGTGTGTATATGGGTGTTTACGACGGTGCAACTTGTGCCACTGTGCTGGATCAACTCTAATTACACCAAAAGTTAAAACAAAGATTTAACAACTACTTCTACAACACGTACAGCAGCAATAGCAACAAAAAAACGACTTGACAGTTTTACTGTTAAGTTTTGAGGCCCAAAGCTAGACTCTTATTTCCTCAACAAGTTGAAAAGTCTTAACACTGTGGAGATGACTCTAATGGGAAGCTAGACAGAGGGTGCCCACCTCGTGACTCGAATTAAGAGCTGAGGAATGTAGGACTAACATGACCTAAACAATTAACTACTAACCAGTAGTTGTAACCGTCTCCAGTTATGGCTAAGGCAACACTTAGATGTGTTAACTTAGCAATAAACGTTATAAGAGTGAAGTAACATATTTATTTTTTTTCTTTGTTTATTATAAAACATTCTCCTGCGTGTTTACTCTAAGACTAACAGCTAATTTCAAAATCCGAAATGCCGCACACTTTGTTGTTATTACTAAACACTAAAGATGATAGAATTGGGCACGGTCAAATTTTTAAAAAGTTTTTAAAATAAAAAAGAGCTTGAAAAAAAATGATTGTTCTCATTTTACGAAAAGCAATGCACTTGCTAATGACATTTTTTAATAACTAGAATTGCATCTTAATTCAGTCAACTTGTATAATTTTTTTCAAAACAATAGCCAAATGAGCAAAGAAACGAAGAGAAAAAATATTTACGCAAATATAGTACTACCCAAATAATACGATACCAAAGTTTTAGCACCCTCCACTCAAGTTCGCCCTCCACGATTCCTCACATACGTAAGCCTACGTGTGTGTGCGTGTGTGCGTGTGTGTGTGTGTGTGTGTGTGTGTTTGTTTGTGTGTGTGAGTGTGTGTGTGTGTGTGTCTGTGTGTGTGTGTGTGTGTCGGTGCCGGTCAAATTTTTGTCAGCTGGACTGTTGACAAGAGATTTATTGCTGCTGCTGATTTTTATTCATAAACATGTATCAAAATTCAAAAATCACCTTGCCGATTTGAAGGTGTTCAAATAGACAAGTGGGATTCACTGTTGTTTTGTCGCAACAGAACCTCACTCTTTCACCTTTGTTTATCCCACCAGCTCGTAACTTTAAATCGTCTCCCGCCAAGCCGTCACGTCGCGGAACTTCGTACGTGGACAAACGAACACGGCGGGTACAGCGATGATGTCAGTCCTATGGACAAATCCATTGACTGCCCTAAAAGCGAATACATGTATAGCATCCCTTGATTGCCAAATTTGCCTCAGGTTTGTTTACAAAATCAGTAATGAGACTGTCTTGAGTCTTGAGCAGCACAGACACATGAAATATTTCATCAGCAATACATGTACTTATCACGCAGCCTTTCTCTACCTATCATCAAAACATTTATTGTCAGCATGGCACTACTTTTTTTTGTTCATTGAAATTTGAGCCACCTATAGTTCCTGTGCTGGATCAACTTTATTGACACCAAAAGTTAAAACAAAGATTTAACAACTACTTCTACAACACAGACAGCAGCAATAACTTGTCTATTCGTGTGTGGGTGTGTAGAAAGTAAAAGTACCGGAGGCCATGAGCAGCAGTTTATTGCGCTTCTCACTTTCAGTTTGTTTTCTTGCATAGACTCTAGTAGTGTCTTTTTCTATGCCGTTCAAGTCAGTTTCTATTAACTCAGTAACTTCCATCATACATTAATCATAATATTATTGGTTCTTGACACTACCATACTTCAGCTCTTTCATATTATATTAAAATGG